AGCCAGCGCATGCACGTCAGCAGCATGTGCAAATGGGGGGGGAAGGCGCGGCGAAAAAAGGCGCCGCCAAGGCCGAACACCCCGTCCGGGGGGACCGGCCACCGACATTCACCTCCGATTGCCTCTCGCACCACGCCTCTTCCCCCCCCCTCTCGCTTGCTCCACCCGCCACCGCCGGCACACACACACACACACATACACACACATACACACGCACGCAGATCCCCGCGTCGTCCGGCCTCTCCTCTCCTTTCTCCCTTCCGCGACCATGTCGAACGCCGAGCTGTGCGTCCCTGTTGCTGCTGCCGCCGCCGTAGCCGCCGCCGCCGCCACGCCCCCCTCCTCCCATGCCACTCACCTGCCTGCCCGTATCCTTTCTCCTCCCTTTCTCCGTCCGTCCCCCCTGCCTCCCGCGTGGGGCTGTGCCTGATCACCAGCGCCGAGAAGTTCAAGAATCTCGGCAATGTAGCCTACTCCAACAAGAAGTACACCGACTCGATCGACTACTACTCGCAGGCGATCGGTGCGTGGCAACCGCCCCCTCCCCCCCTCCCCCCTCGCTGCCTCTTTCGCGCGCCTGCGCCCGCCCTCGCTGACGCCCCTCTCGCGCCCTCCACAGAGAAGGCCCCTCTCTCGCCGGTTTACTTCGCCAACCGCGCCGCCGCGCGACTCATGCTCCGTCAGTACCGCCAGGCCCTGATTGACTGCCAGCAGTCCCTGCGCCTGGATGCGATGAACCCCAAGGTGCGTCTTCCTCCCACAGGCCCTCCTCTCTCTCTCTATCTCTCTCTGCCTCGGTCTCTCCCTCCCCGTCCTGACCCGGCCAGCTGTTTCGCCTCCCCCTCCCCCCTCCCCCCTCCCCCACCAGACATACAACCGCGCCGGCAAGTGCTACCTTGCCCTCGGCGACGATGCCGAGGCCGGGCGCCACTTCCGCAAGGCCATCGAGCTGGACCCCACGAACGCCGCCTACAAGCGCGACCTGGCTTCGGTGGCCAGCATGACCACCAGCCGCGACACGGCCAAGAGCCTGTACGACCGCGGCGAGTTTGGCCCCGCGCTCAACGCCATCGAGACTGCGGTCAACCTGGCCCCCGAGGGCACTGCCATCCGCATGCTCTGGATTGATATTCACATTGCCCTGCGCAAGTTCAACGAGGCGCAGACCCTGGTGACGTGCGTCTCGCATTTGCCCCGGAATCCGGCGACCCCCCCCCCCCTGCCTCCCCCGAGGCCGGTGTTGGTGCCTTCTCTCTTGCGTCTTTTCCACGCGGCCCTGTCGCTGCGGCCGCCGCCCGATGCTGACTCTCTTCCCCTTTCCATCGACTCCCCGCTCGTACACCCCTACACCCACACACCCACCCACCCACCCACACACAGCAACATGATTCGTGAGGACCCCGGCAACCCGGACCTCTATTTCAAGAAGGGTCTCCTCACGGCCCACGAGGGCGATGCTGACAAGGGTATGTGCCGGCCGGCTGCGCAATCGCCCCCCCTCATTTCGCTCGTACCTCTGTTCTTGGCAGCCCCTGCCCCGGGGCAGCCTACCGTCGGCCCCCCCCCCCCC